CGGGCGAGTAGGCGACCGAGGCGATGCTGCTGCTTGAGCCCAGCTTCTCCAGCACCTTGTCAATCGCCATCTCGTTCGAGGCGTCGATGGCTCCGCCGTACGCCGCGCCGTCGAGCGAGACCACGCTCAAGCCCTCGACCGACGACTCGGTCGCAATCAAAGTCCCGCCGTGCCGCACCTTGACCGCCCCGCCGCTCGCCTGCGCGCCGCCGTTGACGAGGTGCACGCGCTCGAGCTCGAGCGTGCCGCCAAAGGCGACGTCAAAGTGGCGGGAGCAGCTCATGGCGTCAAGGGTTGCGCCGGCGCCCACGCTCCGCAGCGTCATGTGCGCGACGTGCACGCGCAGCTGCGAGCAGACGGCCCACTCAAGGCGGGCTCCCTCTGGCAGCTCGACGACGCGGTCGCCAGGCTTGCCGGTTTGGTTGTTGACCGCGTCCCGGAGCTCGGTGAAGGTGCTCGCGGCGTAGGTTGGCGGCGGCGACAGAGGCGGCGATGGTGGCAGAAGCGGCGGCAGCGGCGGCGACGGTGGGTACGGCGGCAGCGATGGCGATGAGACGGAGCAATCAATGCCACCAGCAATGATGCACACTTCAGCGTTCGGTGGTCCCGTATTTCCGGTAGGATTGTAGGGATAGCATCCCAATCCGACCTTGCACGCGACGCACTCGTCACACGCATCTTCCGCGGCCGCCCTGCCAACGACCGGCGGTGACGCAGCAGCCCTGCCGACGAGCAGCGCGGCGGCGGCCACGTGGACTTGTGCGGCGGTTGGCTCGAGCGAGGCGATTCCGCCGAGCAGCAAGGCTCCCGCGCCGACGACGCCCGTCTCGACCAGCCTCCGGGCCTTCCCAGCAGCGTCAGCGGGACACGATTCGAGCACGCTGCTGTCGACGGATAGGAGACCCGACATGGCGCCGCCACCCCGAGTGTACCTCGCGGCCGAGGCCTCGTAGGCCACGCCGCACAGGCCAACCATTGCGACAAAGCAGAAGAAGTAGAAGATCTGAGTGCGGCAAACAGCGGTGCTGCCAGTCGGTGCCATGTCCTCGTTCTCCTTGGCGCGCCTCGAGCGCTTCTGGCCGTCGACCTTGTCGGGGCCAGTCTTGCTGGCCGAGGAGCCACTCCACGACAGCGCCACGACAGAGAAGCCCAAGCACCCCATGAGGGCACCCATGAGGAGGGGCCAGGGAGAGCTGCAGGCCATGTCCGTCTCGGCCGTGTTGATCTCGTCCTGCAGAAAGGCAGGCGCGTGCTTCCGTCAGGCACGTTGGAAGAGGCGCAATGAGTGATGGAAGCGAGTGGCTTGGCAGGGGCAGGCCGTGCGGCAGGCAGCCAGGGCCAGAGGGGTGACGGGTTAGCGATACGCGATGCGGCGGCGCGGCAGAGGACAGCGCTGCTCGCCTCGTCCGCGCGCTCCAGCTCGCCCTGCTCGACCTCGAGCGTGGAAGAATCGGCGCAGATGAAGGAGGTGGCGCGTGTCCGCGAGGCAAAGTCACTTGAAATGGACTCGGCCGTCTTCGAATCGGCGATCTGAGTGGCGCGGACCTCCGCGGCCCGCGCTAGCTCCTCCAACGCCGGTGGCGTGTTGTAGGACAAGCTCCGCAGGAGGCTGGAGCGCAGCGATGCCTCGCTTCGCTGCGCCTCCGCCACCTCGGTCTTTGGCGGAACCGGCAGCGGCTTGGGCACCGCTTCAATCTTGGACCCTGCCAGGATGGGCAGGGATGTCTGGGCCTTGCCATGGGGCGGCCCAGCAGCCTGGCGGATCCCACTCGAGCGCAAGGCGTCTTTCCGCCGTGGCGGGGTGGCGGGTGCGCACCTGGAGCGGCCGAGGAGCGAGCGTTCAGGCAGACAGGGCCCGCTGCGCAGGAGGTGGGTCAGGGGTGAAGGTTTGGCGAGTGAGCATAGCGGCGGCGCGGCAGACTGTAAGAATACGGGTCGCCAAGCGCCTGGTCCGCCCGCTCCACCTCCTCCTCGACCTCGAGCAGCGAGGAGTCGGCGCGGTAAAAGGAGGCGCAGGAGCGCTGCCAGTCGGCGTAGCCGCTTGACACGGAGAAGAGATCGGACTCGACCGCGTTCGAGTCGGAGATCCGGATGGAGCGGAGCTCTGTGTGCCACGCCGGGTGCCTCGGCGGGTTGCCGAGAAGAGGGTCGACGGCCCGGTCACCCGGGAGGAAGAGGAGGCGCAGGGGCGCTGCCGCTCGCCCGCCGTCCCCCGGCTTGGTCCTTGACAGGTTGAGCGGGGGGAAGCCGTCGCAGATGGACGCCCCACGGGTCTTGAGAGGGGTGGGCGCCGCTTCCGGCGGGTCCTCATTCTTGACAGAAAAAAATTTTTCTTGGTTGGGAACCCTCGAGAAGCGTTTGCCAATCCGTCAAGCGCCCGCCACTCGCCGCAAAAGTCGGGAGGATGAGGGGCACCGATGCCGACTGTCGGACTCGAGAAGCTCTGGCGCGCGGACTCCCCGGCGAGGATGCTCGTGAAAATGCCGATCATGATGCTCGTGAAATGCTCACGAATCGTTCTCCGGTCGAGCAACCGCTCGCCTTTACGTGCGGCTCGCCCTCCGCCCCCCCCCCCCCCCCCGTGTGTGAGTGAGTATTCTTGATACGAAACCACGACGACACACACCAGTCGACTCGCATCGGTTGCCTCCATGAACGGCGGAGCTATTCTCGCGCCCACACCACACCTGGCTCCAACGTGGACACGCCCATAGCTGGGGACACTACTAGGTCACGCATGGCATCAATCAGAAGTTTTATCTCTGGGCCCCGAAAGGCATCTCTAGCAGTGTCGTTTCACATGCCCCCTCCCCTCCTGGGCGCATACGCCTCACGTCTCGACAGAGCATAAGCCCTTGGCGTGTGGCGAGACGAGTTTTTCGCCATGCAGCGAGCAGCAAGCCGCCCGCCGCAAACAGCCGGAGTCCTCGCCGCGGCACTGGCTGCGCCGCGGTCCCGCACCCGTCGACGAAGCTCCCCCCGCGGAAGACCGCGCGTAGCGACGCCTTGACGATCGAGATGAGCGCGCTCGAGGCTCGCCCACCTACTGCCCCTGAGAGTTGGTTATTGAGTGGGATCAGCTCCCCCCCTTGGGATCGAAGCCGCCACAACCTCACACCCAACATCGCAGGCGGGATCAGAAGGGGACTCCACACCGGACACCGCGCCCGGGCACAGACACTCCCTACCCATCGGATCGCACAGGGCCCCCTCGGAGCAGCCCACACACAATCACGCATCGGCAGAATTAGTGCCTGAGTCAGGCAGACAGCACAGACAAGGAGAGGAGAGAGAGAGAGAGAGAGAGAGAGAGAGAGAGAGAGAGAGAGGGGAGAGAGGAGAGGGTGAGGGAGTGTGCACACGTGAGGAGTGGGGAGGGTGTCTGTGGTGGCCTGTAGTCCTACTACGTGGTTAGAACCACGCGCCCCTCAGGAGCTAAGGTAGAGCTGAGCGTCCAAGACGCCTCGGTGCCACCCACCGGATGAGACCATCCGGATCAATCGAACCCGCCTCCGGCGGGCCGTCCCCGCGATGGCCCACGGTCCTCCGTCGCCTGGTTGAACCCCCTGCCTCCCTGTTGACCCCCACTCCTCGTAGTCCATCATGAAATAAACTCAAAGACCCACCACGCCTCCAGCCTCCACCTCCACCCGCGAGCCGCCACCGCTGCCGCCCGCGACGCCGCCCGCCGCGTCAGATTGCCGCGACGCGCGCTTCGAGTCGAGTCGGAGAGCCGCGCCGCACCAGCAGCAGCATCTGCACCAGCAGCAGCAGCAGCACCACCACCAGAGAGAGAAGCGCACCTGCCCGACGCCGCCCGCAATTAAATAATACTCGACCATTAAATAAACTCAAAGGTCCACCACAGCCACCACCCTCCACCTCCACCGTCGAGCCGCGATCGCTGCCGCCCGCAACGCCGCCCGCCGCCTCAGATGCCCGCGACGCGCGCAGCGAGTCGAGTCGGAGAGCCGCGCCGCACCACCAGCAGCATCTGCACCAGCAGGAGCAGCAGCAGCAGCAGCAGCAGCAGCAGCAGCAGAGAGAGGCGCCAATTTTGAGATTGCCCGAGACAGCCCGGAGATGGCCCCGCGTCGTAGCCCCGGTGCCGGCGCCTCACATCTCAGCATCCAGGGCCCGGTTCCGCCGCGCAGTCGAGCAGCAGGACCTCGGGCACAGCTTTGTCGACAAAGAGCTTGATCAAAATTTCGCCGAAGAAGCGCCACCGGCGGCACGCCGGGATGAATCCGGACTGTTCACATTGTCCGACACCGCGACGGCGAGCCGCCGCGGGCCCACAGGAGGGCTCGGAGCCGCGGCACCGGTCCGCGCCGCCAGCGGGGCGAGAGCACCAGCCTACAACCTGCCGACATGGCAGTTGCGACGGCGCTTTACACACACACACACTCTGAGCCGAGTCTTGGTTTGGGCCCCAGACGGTTTGCGATTTTTTTGTACCTAGGTAAGAGAGTGAGAGTGAGAGAGATTTTTAGCAATACCAAACAACTCTAACACTCACACGTAATTTGGGGCCTGGAGCCCTGTTCACGCGCGCGCGAGACGTGCAGACAGGGTTGCCAGGTGAGAGCGAATGGCGCGGTTCACGCCTCGCACAACAGAGAGAGAGATGCGCTCTGCATGGTGGGACATAAAAGAGAGCGAGTACTTGGGCGAGTAGGCCGTGCGGTCAACGCTGCCGCGCGCGACTTTGCGCGCGAGGCGGCGCAGCTTGAGAACGGCGGTGGGCGAGAAGCCGCCGCCGAACGTCTCGTGGAGCAGCAAGCAGGTTGAAGTTGTTGCGCTTGACAAAGATCGCGTCGTGGTAGAAGCCGCGATGCGCCTTGACGTAGCCGTGGCCGGTCTTGTGGGAGAAGGGTTGGCTGGGCTGCCCGCGCGCCTTGCAGCCCATGTTCAGGCGGCGGTTTTTCTCCTTGTGTGTTCCCGCAAGTTGTAAAAGCGTGAGCAGCGAACGGTGCGCGCTGTCTCTGTGTTCGTTAGTTATGACGTCGGCTTGCTGTCCCGTGGGCTCTCTGCCCTACCTCGCGGCCACACACACCGCCACCGGCCGCGTCGTCGACCTGGGCGCCGTCGAGCTGTACGCAAACACGACAAACGGCACAAACGGCATCCTCATCTGCCCAGACGTGCGCCCGCCCGGACGCCTCTGACGCGCCCGGACGCACACGCCGCTCCCTCCCCCAATGCCTTCGAGACCGCGGCGTGCAGGTGTGGGGGTGGAACGGCGGCCGCGTCCGCGCCATCGCCGACGGCCTCTCAGAGCAGGGCTACAAGGTGGCGGTCGGCAAGTTTCTGGCGCCGGCGCTGGATGGTGGCACCGACGGAGATGCTCTGCCTCCCGACGGCGACTTCAGCATGGACTGGATCAAGCAGTTTCCGTGGGAGACGCAGCGGCCCAAGGTGGAGGCGGCGCTGGGCTTCCTCAAGGCAGAGGGCTGCAGCAAGATCGGCGTGCTTGGCTTCTGCTACGGCGGCCACCCCGCGTGTTGGGCGTCGACCGTCGAGCCGAGCGTCGTCTGCGGCGTGGTCTTGCACCCGTCCATGCAGCTGGAGGGCTTCGCCTTTGGCGGCGACACGGCGGCGCTGCTCAAGTCGGTGCGTTGCCCGTTCCTGCTCGCGCCCGCGGGCAACGACTTGCCGATGTGGTCCGCCTGCGGCGAGTTTGGCGAGGCGCTCAAGGCGAGCGCCAAGGGCGCCGACTGCGTGTTCAAGGAGTTCCCGGACATGTCGCACGGCTGGTCGTGCCGCGGCGACCTGGCCGACGAGAAGGTCAGGCGCGACGTAGAGGCGGTGATGAAGGATGCGATCGGCTTCTTTGCGAAGTACGTGCTGGCGTAGGGCGTAGGTAGCGGGGTTCGCGGTGTAGGAAAACGCTTTGCTGCAGGTGCGAGGTGGTACATCCCGCCGTACTAGATAGATTTCTTGTTGGTTGGTCTTATACGCCTGCGAGAACGA